AATTAGAATAAAAAAATTTTTTTTAAAATTGCACTTACAGTTTTTGAAGTTTTTTAGACGTGCAATTTTTTTTTTTAATGATTTTTTCAATAAAAAAAAATTATAAAAATTTTGAAATGTCGGCTAACTTAATTTTTTAAATAATTTTTAATAATACTGATCAGCAAAATAGAATTTCTTAGAAAATTTTTAGAAATAGTAAAATTAGTCAAATTTTTAGACTCAGTGGAGTTAACTGAAAATTTGAAAGCTTTACTAATTATTCTAAAAAGAAGTTCTTCAATTTGATTCTTATTTCAATGTCTTTTATTTTAAAGTTCTTTTGTTACAGAATTACAATACATGTGATAAATTATTATTTATGATAATTTCCATACAAATATGGAAAATCAATACGTAATTTGAAGAAATTTAATACATAACATCTAATTTATTTTGGCGCAATATTTCATCGTCAGATATGGGTGATTTAATATAAATAGAAAATATATAAAACACAGTAATAAATAAGGATTATATAAATGACCTAAAGTCAGTCATATGACCATTATTTAACAATATCCAGAATTGAAATGTTAAGAGACTTAAGCGTGGCCGTTGTCAGTAAACAGAACAAGTAGGTATGCCATCAGAGGATATAATAGAATGTGGGTACATGAAGAAAAAAGAGTAAATGCGGGGAGGAGAATAATAAAGAAAAAGCGTGTCAATAGGGACTCTTCTCCCAGCAAATTTAAAAGTTAATAGTCTAAACCCTTTCGTCTATTATTTCTTCATTTTTCGTAAATTTTACTCATGCAATAATTTACAACGTCTTTACGCAAATTTTAAAGTTAAATAATAACAAAAACTGTCTACTTTGTCAACGGGTGTACTATTGTCAGTATATATACATATATATATCGTACCGAGGCAAGCTTGATGGAGGTAGAGGTCATGGTGTAACTTCATAAATCATTTAATGGAAACAAATAAACTCTTGAAATATTGCAAAATAGTGAGGAAAGGGTTAAGACTACCTTAAGTTTAAATCTTAGACAAAATCTATACAACATATCTAGCTACCGAAATAACTTGTCAACTGGTTTAACCCTTTGCCGTATTACCTGCTTGGCCTACATGTATATCTCTGGTATTTATTGTATGTACTTCTTAAAAGAATATGAGTCAGCAGTTATACATAGATTTGCTTCTTTACTGCAACAAGTCAAAAGTCAAGGGATTTAGTACGGCGTGTTTGAAAGGATTTTAAGATGTTCCCTCCTAATAGACTTTTTCTTAACTCTATTATTTGCCGTATTTAATTTTTTTTAAGTAGATAGCTCAAGCCGGACCTGGTTACTCAGAGCTCCTGGTGATTAAAAAATTTTTCTATTTTAAACTGTGGATTACTTTCACTGTAAATTTACATTTTTGCTTATTATTTAGTACGACAAGTTTAAGATTATCCGATTTTAAAAATAATAAAACCTTTAACGATAACAAAATTTTAGAGATAGGTACAAGTGAAACCCTCCCATTTCTTCACAACCCTTACTAAAAATTCAATACCATTTTTTTATCTTCCTTTACTCATTGTTAAAAATAATAATGAAATTTAAGTACTTAGCAGATAAAAAAAATAAAATTATTTTATGAAAAATTTATAAAAAAAAATATTTAAAATAAATTTTTCTTATGGCATAAGAACCTTAAAATCCAATCATTGACAATAACATTTTAATACTGATTTAAATCTACTAAGAACATCGTCATTAATACATTTCATTATTATTATTATTATTATTATTATAAAAATAATATATTTTCTTAGAAATACTCTTACGTAGAAGATTAGGTAGTATTATTCACTTTTGTTCACAAATTACTTAATATATCTATTGTGCCTAATTATTCTTCTTACGTTAATTAAGACTTGAAACATTATCACCAAGTCATCTTACGTTCATTAAGTATCGTTGTGTAAAGTATAATTACTTAAACTGGCAAAAGAAGTAAATGTATTTTACAACCATATTTATAATAATAAATCCAAATAAATTTTTAGTTAATAAATTTTCAAAAATAATTAAAAATTAACTTTTGAGTATAAGTATGACTATTTAAATAAAAGAAAAATACTTAAAAAGTTTTGAATAAAAACTAATTTGAAAAAGTAAAATTTTTTATAAATTTTTTTTTTAATTATTAATTTATTTCATTAAACAATTATATACATGTTTTTAGCAAGGGTGTAATATGAGTAAATTTGCATATAAAAATAATAAAAAACGTGTATATAATTGTTTAATGCAATAAATTAATAATTAAGAGAAAAAAAAAAAAATTATAAAAAAAAAGGATTGTCGGTGATAAAATTTATTTTGCAATGTTCTTAACCAGAAAGTAGTATAGATATTTAATTTTCAAAAATTAAAGTTATAGCAGCTTTGGATCCAGATTAACCCTTGAAGGTAAATCAAACAAATAAAGTTGTAAATTGTAAAATATAGTTTCATAACAATATCAAAATTCTAATTATCAATTATACGTGGACATAACTAATATCAAGTATTATCAGTCCTTCATAATGTTGATTAGACAATGTAATACACTCACACAGTAAGCGTATGCTACCACTTCCAATGAATTTAAACACGTGCCACTACTATCAGGACGGTTGTTTGCCTATTGGTCATAATAGCTCCTCCCACTATTCAAAATTTTTCGTTTTTCTATTTCCTTAGTATGGTTTCTCTGAGTCGGGCAAAGAAAGCGTCTTCTCCTACCCTATACTGAATGTAGTAGTTGAGAAGCTCATAAGGGGTGCGTATATAAACGAAGCAACATCCCCGAGAGAACCATAACTCACCTACTACTGACCATCAACGGATGACTATTTATTTTCAAAATATTCACAATTATTTTTTTTTCGTGCTCGTCGGTACTCACTCGGGATTGTGCTTATTTTTGTTTCTAATTGTTATACAATAATTGAACTTGTTGTTATTTAAATATTTTAAATAACTCAAAATTTATTTAATTAAGTTTATAACACAGTGTTGTGATTGAGTAATTGTACGATTCGGAATAACTTTTAGGTAAGAATTAAATGTACTTTATTAAATTAATTAATTCTTTTAATTTACTGCCGAGAATTAATTCTATTAAAATTTTCTATTAACTAATAATAACAAAAATTGTGCATTTTTAAATTAAATTTTTATAAGCTTCTACTTAAAATTTTTGCAATTCAAATTCATTTGAGCTTATTTCTTCTTTCTTAAAAAGTGATTAGTGAATTTTATTTGATAGAATTTAATAACAAAATAATAAAAAAAAATTTTTGTTTATTTTTAGCCGACCAAAAAAACTCATTACAATGACAGCGTACGTAAATTCACCTTCAAGACACCTCGCGTTAGATTGTACATCATTGAAACAAGACATTAATGAAAAAACAGAAACAGTTTTAGATCTTTCTTGCAAAAAAGAACATGATAGCCAAATAGCTTCATGTAATTTAAGTCCCGTGTCACTGGAAGCAAGATCAGTGTCGCCGTTAAGCGAGAGTATCAACGAGCAACATCATTATCATCATCATAATAATAATAATTATCATGAAGAACTAGAGCAGCAGCATCAAGCCCAGAAGCAGCAACATTGTTCTCGTTATTACCAGGATTATCATAGTAATTCATCTGAAGATGAACAAAAAAGTCCTGAGAGTCGTTCATTCATGGTAACACCACCTTCAGATTCAGATTCGCCTTCGAAGTCAAAATATCAAGGCATTTCAACTAAAACAGATCATCATCATCATCATCATCATTATTCGCCTACTTCTTCGCCAATGTTATTTATGAATAATCCAATAACGCACCCAGTACATCATCCTGTGATGTCAGTGCATAATAACAGTATTTCTTACCCTCAAGTGCTAGCACCGACGACAAACTTGTTGACAATGAATCCAAAGGTATCCGAGGAAGCTTGTACACCTGACGGTGGGAAGAAAGCACCTCGGCCATTCAAAGCGTATCCTAAAGACCCACTGGCTTTGACAGTCAGCCCGCCGGAATTCATGTACGACCAGAATTCAAAAGAATCTTACAGCGAGTTCCGCAAGCGGATGCTTGAGTCGGTGAGAAAATCTAATGATGGTACTAATATTAAAATGAGAAGGTTGAACAAAAATTCAAACTTACCAACCAGCACCGTCGATGACAAGGACATGGCTTACTGGGAAAGGCGCAGGAAAAATAATGAAGCGGCGAAACGGTCGCGCGACGCAAGACGAGCTAAGGAAGATGAAATCGCAATCAGGGCAGCTTATCTGGAGCAAGAAAATATTAAATTAAAATATGAAATCATAGCACTGAGAAATGAAACTACAAGGCTGCGTTGCATGGTTTATCCTAGTTAATAAATTTGTTCAGAAAATAGTTCCCTGATTAAGAAATTTAATTTGAAATGATTTAAAATAATTTAAAAGCATCTGACTTAAATACTATATAGATATATAATTTAAATAAATTTAATCATTTCAAATCATCTTTTTGAATCAGGGTTGTAGATACAAATAGATTTTGTACATATTAATGTAAATAGTTAATGAGTTTAATCGAGTCTAATTTAGCGTATAGAATAAATTTGAGATATTATTTTGTTATCCATACCTTTTTGTACAATAAAACAAAAAGTAACGATTCGTTTGATATAGTTATTGTATAACTGAGTAGAAATTTTTGTTATTTCACTACGTATAGCTTATAACTAAAGGTTATAAATGTAGGAGAGAATTATTATAAATAATTGACTGACAAATATACATCCCATCATTGTATCTATGTACTTAAAACCAAGTATACTAGTTCTATATTAACTAACTTTTGTAATATTTAATATTTATCCTTAAAAATAATTATAAATTTTGGAATTTATAAACTTAACTAATTTTTTTTTGTATAAAAAGAAAAATTTATTTACACCATTTAAAACTTTAATAAAGAATTACTAAGCTATACTAGAGGTAATGCATCACTCAGCTCCATTAAATTATCATTTTCAATATCACTTTTTATCGTTCTGCTTCGTCTGAGATTCTGTGAATGTGGTTTATGCAATATTTGTCGTGGAATGAACATCAATGAAGATGCAGGTTTCATTGTTGATGATAATAACTGCCCGAATGAAGAGCCTGAAGATGTTGAATTACCACCAATTGGATGATACTCATCGACTTTACTCTTACATTGCGAGCTGAATGTTTTTAATTTTTGATTCTTGTTCAAATCAACACTTAATCCTTTATTGTCGTTAGCTTTTTTATTATTTGATAATTTAATTTTCTTTTTATTATCATCTACTTCCATTGCGTTTTCTGGATGTGTGGTAGGTTTTTTCACGGATTTTCTTTGTGACAATTCGTCGAATTTAAATAACTTTGGAAATTTATGAACTTCAATGCAATGCTGTTTTCTATCTTCAGAGGTTTTGAACTTGATAGAGCAGTCCGAGACATAGCATTGATGCTGAAAAAGAAAAAAAAGTAATTTATTAAAACACATTTTTAATTTGTAGACTATTATAGTTAAGAAAAAAACTCCTTTATTTTTTACAGTTCAATTTGTATATACATAAATATAAATTTGGAAAAAAATTTTTAATAATTAACTAGTAACCTTGCAGTCACTATGTGACTGCCGTGACTTGTGAACTATGGATAAATAAAATTTTGCTTTATTAAATAATGACTTTTGTTAAATTGCACTGTACTTTCTTAAGTATTGACATTTTTAAAGATATAAGCTCATCCCGATGTTACACTCATCAAGAGCTTTCATTTGAGTACCCACATGCATTTTCATATATTTTTCATATATACATAAATATAATATATATAAATATATGAAAAATTGATGTGGGTACTCAAATGAAAGATCTTCATGAGTGTAACATCGGGATGAGCTTATATCTTTAAAAATGTTAATATTTCACAAGATACAAGGTCATTTCTTAATTATGTATCTAGAGATAGAGAATTTTCGAATGCAGCCTAAATACATCATAACAAATTGACTATCGGTGAAAATGATATAAAACCTTGAAAAGACATAAATTCAAATCAAGAACTTTGCAATGACACTAAATTTTACTAAAAAAATCGATTTTATCATATGACTGTCCTGGACACAAAATTTTTCTTATTCTCAATAATATAGATTATTTATTTTAATTTATCAAGATGAATATTATAATATGTTCATAAATTTTAGCTGGAAAAATTTATTCTTATTTTATTATCTGGATACTTAGATCTTTGGTGATGCAAACTTCGAATTTTTCTTTAATTACAAATAAATAAAAAAAAAAAAAAAAAAAAAAAAAAAAAAAAAAAAAACAGAATTAAGTCATAAATTTTGTAATTATTGACTATTGTCAAAAATATTGTCTAATCTCAGATTAGTATTTTGTATTTTCAATGTACTTATGTATTTAAACTATTTACTTAGTCTCTTCTTTATGTTGGAATACACTTAAGTGTAAAATCGATTACTGCATACTGTAACTGAATATTTGGCAACATGGTATCCCAAATTACCGCCAAGTTCTAAGAAGGAATATTACTTATAATACATACTTTAAGTCAAATGAGATAATAAAAAATGCTTTAAATCAAAAATTTTTTAAGTTTAAAAAAGTTTGAGCTCGAATTTTTATTTATTGATTTACTTGAAGGATTCCCTTACTCAACATCATTAAACCTATTATTACTTTTAGAAAGTAAGTTTCTGAAAAAAGTTTCTTGGTAAGTAATAGTTATACTTTTTAGTAATATGTTTGTTTTTAAAGTTTTTATCTATAAAAGCTTTGAAATTCTAATTTTTATCAATATCATAATGATTATTGTGAAAGTATGACAATAAAATTCATTAAAACATTTAGATTTGATAATTGAAAGAAAAAAAAGTAAACATGATAAATGTACATACCATTGGTTTTTTATCAGCTAAAACTTTGAAAAAGCTATCATGATTTTCTTCAATATGAATTTCTAACAATCGTGCATTAGCGTTTATCTTCTTACATTCTGCACAAGTAAATCTATGACAACTATTGTAGTGTATTTCAAAATCCAGAAGATTGTCGAATTTTATCTCACATCCTGGTGCATTGCATTTAAACTCATTCATCCTGAAATTAAGATAATTATAAATTACAACATAGTAAATAAAAATACAGAGATGTAAATAAAGATACTGAGTATCTTAATAAAAGTGATTGACAGTTACAAGTTTACGGTAAAAATTATAACACTCAATATAATTAATTATTGAAAATGAAGTTAGCCGACATTTCAGAATTTTTAGAAATTTTTTATTGAAAAAATTTCAATTAAACAATTAAAAAAAAAAGTTTCACATGTAAAAAACTTAAAAAACTATAACTGCAATTTTTTAGAAATGTCTTTTTAGTTGCAATTTAGAGCCAATTTTTCAATCCGAGATAAAAGTATTGCCATTATGATAAAAAAATGAATAATTCAGCACAGTGATATTGCCTACGAGTAATTCTCCTTGAATTCAGTCACTTATTTTGAATTAAAATAAATAAACATTAGCCAAATGTCACAGAAATATTCATCTCCAACTGTGACAAGTTCCTGATTGTAAATAAATAAAATAAAAATTAGGAAAACGGATGACCCTGAAGGAGATCCCTGTAACTTCCCGCTAATTCTATACCTAAGCGCTTGAAACTGCACTTATTTAATGTTGTTGAGTTCTTCAAGCTCCAAATTACAATTTATGTGTTATTTTGAGCTTTATAAGCTCAAAGAGGTAGCTGTTCTATGCTTTTGAGCCCTTCGAGCTTATATCTTACGTTTGACATATCTATTATTAATTTATAATTGTGTTAATTAATTTAAAATAATAATAATAATAAGTTTTTTTAAGTTTTAATTGTTCAATTTTGTATGCTAATAATTTTTTGTTCATGGATATAAATTACTGTACCAGTCCTATGTACAGATGGAAATCATCTCTATAGGACAGATATTTTGTATTGTACACTTATTATGTATTTTTTCAAATATCTGTATTTCTGGTAATAAATTATTATTATTATTATTATTTTTATGATATATTTATTTATTTTTATTTAAATAAACGACCAAATTCATGGAGAACTAATTGAGAGCAATATCACGTCGTTGAATTATTTATTTTTTTTTTTATTTTATTGGCGGGTACTTTTATCTCGGATAAAATTTTATCCCGGATTGAAAAACTGGCCCTTAATTAATAAAAAAAATCAAAAATTTTTAGACGTTTGCTAACTTCAGTGTCATAATTAATTTAGATTATGAACTGTATTGAAATATACTCACGATTGATGCAAAAATTGCTCCTCATCGTCTATTGTAATCCCGGTTCGTTGAAAAACTTTACAAGCTCGATGAGAGTCTTCAAAAAATGTATCATTAATGTCTCTCGTACCTACTCCAATATTTTTTAAAAATACTACATCATCGGGTGACAATTCTCCAGCCATTGTTAATATTTGTTACTCTTTTTGAACAGCTGAAGCTGAAGAATTTTATTGTTGAAAGCATTTATTTACTTTTCACTTGCTTTAAGTCCAAGATAACCTCAACTTTACAAAATACATTTATTTCAACGTAAATTTGATGAATTTCTTACGAGGTAACAATTATTATTTTACATTGTTGTACTTTTATAATTATCTGTAAAAAGATAGAATGCAATATTTTAAAAAAAATTCTAATAAATTAGAAGAATTATTTAAAAAATTTAAAATTATTTTTTATTTATTATATACAACTCGCGCTCTTTACCTTTACCTGTCAAACTGGCTTCAAACCACGGTTACAGATCTCAAATTCTCAAATTCCGGGACGTTAGATTTACAGTTAACTTTACATTCACTTGGCAAAAATTTTGACGTCAAATTGTCTGTAACTTTTTATGAAAAGTTGGGGGGAGTTGTTAATATTTAGTCGACAAGATAAAAATCTTTCTTACTTACTGTAAATATTAAACTGTGTGGAAGAACTGTCAGGTCAGGTCCTGATAAAAAAAAAATAAATATATCCCGTTTATTATTATCATTATTTTTTTGTATACAAATAAAAAATTATTCTTTTTAACAAATCATCATTGAAACACCTTGTCAGATATTCTATACGATGACGTCATTATAAATTTTTATTAAATTAAAGAGAAAAACAAAATAAAAAAATTTAGTCGCCATAATTGTATTTGCTAACATCACGACCCATTTATACCATACTACAAATATATATTTTATATATGTATTAGTGTATCATATTGATATATATATATATATATTTAGTTCGGTATTCACAAAATTTAATGTAATTTATTTTTAAACATAAAGTTAATATGTAAAAGAATATATTCGTGTAAGTGTATCGTTTTTTAATTTTTTAATCTATAAAAAATTTTTAAAACGCAAAAAAATCATACTTTCTCAAAAACAGGAAAAAAAGTAAAGGTAATTATAACTTAAATATCTATTTTTATGCCTTCGGCTTTTAAATTATACAGATGTATATGTATAAGTCAAAGATTATATAAACTACCAAACTTGAAATAATTTATTTGTAAATACATATGTTTTTTTTTTTATTCTCTACAGGGTAATGACAACTCTTATATTAGGAATTGGAGTTGGTTTATTTGTCATTCTAACCTTGTGGTTATCAGCTGCATTGATATTCGCTGTATCGTTTAGAATTGACAAAAAAATTGGTGCTATTGCTATTATTGTTGCTGTAATAATTACAATTGTTCTTGTGAGTGTGCCGAGAAGTTCAGAATATCCTTCTTCTTTTCAAGAAAAGGTATGACCACCATTTATCAACTTTTTTTCAAGCAAAAACATATTGATTATTAAGTAACAATTTTTGGAGTTGTCAATTTTTTAATTTCTATTGTTAAAATAAATATTTTCGTTAATTTTTTGATGAAAAATATTATACACAAAACATCTGGAAAATTTAGTATCAAATTTTGATAATAAATTTATCAGAATTAAAAAAATTTATTGATCCAATTTTATGATTATTTAAAATTTTTTATTGAACAACAAGTTATTTAATATAAATAAATTTTATTTTTCAGCCGTATGATCAACTTTTTGTCTGGAGAGTTATTCTTCTTACTGTGCTAGTTGGTTCTTCATTAATTGCATTATTTGGGTACGTCAAGTATGAGTTAATGGACTTTAAGAAACCTCAAAGAATTGTCAATTGGATTTATTAAAAAATACCAATCAAATTATAAAGTCAATAATTAAGTAGAGTAGATAATTATTGTCAAATATTTTTCCGTGATATAAAAATTAAGTTAAAATTAAAAATTGCATAATTTTTCTGTTTAAAAAGTAATTAATTCAAAGCCTTAAATATGTTATGCAATATTCAAAGTGTTGTTAAATTAACAAAACGAAATATTTCATTATTAGGAAGAAGTTATAAAAAATTTGAAATAACACAGAATACAGAATTTGTATCTAAAGTTATGAATAGTAAAGTGCCAGTAATTGTTAACTTTCATGCCGAATGGTGCGATCCTTGTAAAATATTAACGCCAAAATTAGAAAAACTAATCGGTCCGATGGAAAATCTTAATCTTGCAATAGTAGATGTAGAAAGAAATCCCGAATTGGTTCATACATTCGAAGTTAAAGCTGTACCAGCTGTAATAGCTGTGTCAAACGGGCTTGTTATTGATAAATTTATTGGACTAGTGGATGCCAATATGATAGATAATTTAATTAAAAAATTAACAGAATCAACCTCCAATACGCATAGTAGAAATTCTTAAATTTTTATTGTTCTTGTTTTTAATTTCTTTTTTTTACGTTATAATTAAAGTTATTTTGTTCTGCTCAAACTTGCCAGAGTGACTTAGTCTTGTATTGGCAATATTATAATTGCACTTCCGTTGATATATTTTGAGTGTATGTTTTATTTTAATTTTTTTTTTTTTTTTTTTTCTAAAGATTATCCAAAAATTTAATTATACACGAATATAAATTTATTTTACTGATTTATTATTTTTGAATCAGTAGATTACACATTTTGATGTTGTTCAATTTTTTCATTATTTTATTTTATATTATAATTTGTATATATTACTTTGTTTGACGATCAGTGAATTTCTAGAATGTTTTTTATATAGAATTGAATCAAATACTTTTTTAAAAAATAAAAAATTCATGTAACTTCTATTAAATTTAATCATTTAATTGAATAAATTCTTGGGTTTATTGTTGTAACAAAAAAAATTGAGTAGTGTAATAAGCAATGGTAATTTAAAAAATAAACTTGATTATAAAATTGTCATAATTTAAAAATTTTTTAATCATAATTAATTTTATTAATATCTTCTATTGTGAAAAAAATCAAACATATTCCTGTAGTGAGATTATAAGAAAATTTTCCGTTTTTTACAAAATATAAATAAACATGATAATTACATTGATTTATTTGTTTGTTTTATTTATTAATTTATATAATACGAATAATTAATATTAATGATAACAAATAAATAGTTTTTTTCACTGTACTAAAATTTATTTATTCCATACATGCTCTTTAAAATAATTAAATTAATATTACAATATTATTTATTATTTATTATTTATTTGGTTTAAATCTATTACTTTTATTCATCTGTACATTATAAATTATTTACGAGTACCAAAGATATTTAATGGTCTTATTGATAATAATTATAATAATTAATAAGCATTTGATAATTATTTACATTTACAGAATACTTTTGTCATTAAAAAGTGTTTTATAATATTTAAATGTGTAACTTGATTAATCGATGTGCTTCAAAAAGCGTGTATTATATAAATATAGGTAACAGATTGCACAAAAATTGTTTAGTTATTTGAATTGAGTCTTTTTTTATTTTAAAATTTACTTTATAATTTTTTAAATTCAAATAATAATTATTAACGATCCTTCATATGACAAATTTAATTATGGAAATAGAAGAGAAATAGGCCGATAAAAACAATTATATAATTTGTCACTTGACTGTTTCTCTCCCTCTAATTAATAATATTTATTAACAGTTTATAGTATTTTTTTTAATCTTTAAATAATTTAAATACCGGCTTTACCAACAATTGAAACTACCTAAGGTTTGTTATTATTTTTCTTCATTTTATTTCTTTTTTATTATCAGTCAGGTGTTTAGAGTTACACCTCGATAAGGCAATGCTGTGATTAACTGATTTTTATACTTAAATTATCGAACGTATTATTTAAAACAATTTCATTTCCAATTTAAACAATACTCATGCTATTTTCTCTAGTATTAATGATTCACATTGAAGTGCTAATATTCACAAAATAAAATTTTTCGTTTTGATAAAAAATTAAGTAAACAATGATTGTGAAATTGAGCTTTTAATTAATCAAAAAAAGAAAAAAAAAAAGCTAACAGGATATATATGTATAAAAAAAATAACGGATACAATAATTACTAATAAAGGTTAAATAACCATTTGATTACAATAATGACAATAATTTTTAACATATAAAATAATTAAATAAGCGTCTGATTTAATAATAGATATGTCTTCATCTGAGAAGATATTTCACTATATATTTTTAAACCTGTTTCTCTCTTTCTCGTTCTTTCTTCACTTTAATTCTTAATATTTAATATTTGAACATTATATTATCATCTTTAATGCTTCTATAAGTTCTTATGGCTATTTACAGCTTATTAATAAATACATATAGTTTTCTTTAAAAAAAATGTAACAAAATGTAGAAAAACACGCATGACGTTATTTACAAATCTTAATAATCGCATTAATTCACATTTTATTTTTTTTTTTTTTTATTTATACTATATACTCATACATTACCGTTGAATTCTCCCGAATTAAATCAAATAAGTATTTCAATAATGAATCACAACGAAGAGTATTTTTCCTATACAATTATATACAATTAGTTTTGTTTTACCTTACTATTAATTTATAATAGATTTTGTTTAAGCTATTTCGTACTATTTAAAAGCAACGATCTGATAATTTAAAATCATTTATAATTACATAAAATTCATTATATTACACAATATAATACAATACGAAAGTACAACAATATCGCTCTGTTGTCTCGTAAGAAATGTCAATACATTGTATCAAAACAATGTTTATCACTAATTAATAATCACACATTTTATTTTGTTTGTTTTTTTTTTGTTCTGTACATCAACCTTGTTTCAGTTTTTCGGTAAGAAATTATTAAGATCAGTGGAAGAAGAACAAGATAATTTTCATTAAAATTAAATCAAACCTCAGCACCTAAATCTCTTACACCTTGTTCAGCAATCGGCACAAATTTGTCTTCTATTTTAACCAATAAAATAACTTTATCGACATGTGAACGTCGATTAGGGTCACGATGATTCGGTAACCATCGATGAACAACACAGCCTTCCATACCTCTTTCAGGTACCCAATGCTGCCAGCCTGATCTGCCACCTTGCTGTCGCATTTTTTCATCTGGCCAAATAACGTCAATACGTCGACCAAGATTAATAGCATCGTAAACTTGATTTGGATCCATTATTCTCACTCGTTGTGATATTTCTTCCTTATCTTTATTCGAAAAGCTCGTTTCACATTTGGATTCTGTTTTAATATCGTTGTTGCTTAATAATCCAGCAAGACTAGCCAGAGTTGAACTTGTTGGTTTACCAACGGAAGCCAAAGAACCTCGGTTTCCACCCAGTGAACCTGTATTAGCTCTTCCAAGTGATCCACGGCCTGTTGATCCTCCTATTTGACATCCAGAGTCCATTGATTGAGATCCAGAAGTGTTATGACCAGATTGACTGTATCCTAAAAATTAAAAAAAAATTTTTTTTTTTTTCTATTCAATCAAACCAAAATATTACTACAGTGGATTCTCAGTAACTCGAACCTTGCTAAACCGAAATTCTCAGTAACTCGAAAAAAAATTTGTATTCCTCTGTAAATCGAACTTGATATCATTTTCCTTCCAGTATCGATAAAGGATATTTATATTTTATAATTCGAATTTTAAAAGTGAAACTCTGTAAGTCAAAGTTAGTAAAATATAAAGACGTTTTTCTCCGAACTTTCCAAGCTTATAACAATCAAATCTGAATTCCTATAAAAATTTTCAATGCTTCTTATATTCTTGTTTGTAATGTATATTTTCTCTCTAAGTTATTTTCTTGTAAATCAAGTATTTTCTTAATTTTTTTAATCAACTTGCAAATTTTGAACATTTAACTTCCCTTGAGGTTTCGAGTTATCGAGAGTCCACTGTATTATTTTTTATTTTATAAAATAAATAAATTAGATTTACCAGAATGAATATTATAAGTAGTCATTGCATAAACGCCATCGTTACCAAATCCTCCATCATCTTGAGATCCAGTACCACCTGAAGAACAGCCTTCACCACATCTTCTTCTGACTCTGCAATGGAAAAAAAAAAAAAAAAAAAAAACAAGAATTAATATAGCCAAAGACAAAAAAAAAAAATAATTATTAAAGAATCAAATAATAATAATCTTACTTTCTCCATATTTTGAGTACATTATTTTTAATAGTATTTAAACTAAATGGTCCTCCAACAATAGAACAAAGTTGTTTATTTGTTTCAGCATAACTGGTTGTAAGTGGTGATACATAAATTGGATATCCAATTGGTTGATCACAGGAGCTATTAATAATATTTCTCAATGCTTGTTTGGCATTTTGTATTGATCCTCTTTCTGGATTACGATTTCTTAAGTAAACTAATTCTTGCTGTTGACCAGCCCATAGTCCACGCACACACTCACGATTCATTTTAATAACACGAAAACTCAAAAAACGTTTATTTAACATAATAACTTTATACTCATCAATCCCATCATCAACAACGTGTCGTAACGCTAAAAGACTTGGTGCACCACTCAACACAGCATTACGCCAAAGAGGATCAGCTTCGTGACTGATAACTAAATGACGATCATGATTATCAATTGCCTCATACAACGCTGCAGGATCATCGTATTGTTCGGGGCTCATGAAGTGATCTTGATGTAATTTTAGTGCCATCCTTACACCTTTTGCTACGACACTTTTAAGTAAATCTACGTCATGAAGTACCCATTCATCACGTACTGACGTTATCCTAAAATCACCTTTAAAAAGTGCATGAAGACCATAAAGAAAAAATTCAACACTTGATACGGTATTGTGAGAAGCTGCTCCAAGTACACGTCTACCTAAAAGACTTAATGCTAAACACAGTGATACAAGATAAGAATCACGTGTTCTTTCAAGAGTTTTATCAACTTTAACAGCACAAAATTGTATCCAATCTAGATAAACATTACAAAAACTACTTCTTGATATACCATTTGCACGAAAATCAAAATCTTCATCAATATTCATATTAAAAACAGGATCTAAATCGACAAAAGTTTTTTCTAAAGTTGGCTTAAGAGAATCCGTGATATCTTTATTGTCTAACCATTGTTTCAATTTAACGGATTTAATAACATAAAAAACAATACTTTTAACATAATAAGTAACAAGTACTTTACGAAAATCAAATACTTGAAGCATTGAACCCGCAGAATTATCCGAAATCGAATATCCTTCAAGTACATATTTGGCACTAGCAACTTCCCAAGCGAGCCATCGTTGTCCAAACGCCGCATTCATACTCAATACATTTGAAAAGTGGCCCATTTCACAGCAACAACAATTATCGTTTTCTTCTATACTCTCTGATATAGCTTCTACTTCACGCTGTTGGCAATAAGTCCCACGAAATTCAAGTCCACGTAATTGAAAAGTTACTAGTCCGTTGGCCAATTGTATAACATGAACAAGACAATTGAGGTAGTCTGAGGCAAGTAAAAAACAATCACCCTGCTCGACATTACCCCATCTTCCAAGTGCCAAATCACCGTACAAACTGTGCTGAAGAGATCGTGTTAATTGTTCATAAAATATTGAATTAAGATTATTATCATCTGCGCCAAGATTGCGCTCTAAATGCGATGACATCCGTGTATTTGAATGATCCACACGGCGTGTTTTATAATCACGTTCCCAAAATTTTAATGGTCGTACGTAGGAGCATATAAATATTGCACTGCCCAGTAATGGATTTAATGGTGTACTCAGTATAGCTGATATAGTTGCTTGGAGAAAAAGCATCGCTGAATGTGGAACTGAAAATGGCTGGGCAAAAGCATGAAATGCACTCCCCCATGTTACTTGCCAAGGTGCAATATAAGTTATCACAAAACGTATTTTCAATAATAATTCGTGAATTTTAGCGTATGCTATTGCTGTAACAAAATAATCCACCAAAAATGATTCACTTAAATGTTTATAGTCATAACGAAAAAATAATAATGAAAATGCCAGCACTAAGTAACGCGATGATGGATCTGCGTAAGCTGATCTTAATGATTTTAATCCACAAACAACAATTATTAATGCGCCGACATTTTCACCAAATTTATTGACTATTTTTGATGAGCATTCTGTTAGTGCCCATAGGAAGACTATTGGATACAGTATATTACGTTCAATAAAACACAAATAAACGTAAATTTTTTCATACCACATTATTTTAACGGGCTCACGAACTTCAAATTGTGCATGTTCGTGACTTCTTAATACTGGCCTAGCTAAACACAACCATGGTAATTGTTTTCTTAATTGCGGTATAATATAATGTAAAATAAATCCAAGACAACTGACTACACCCCAAAGAACATGATTAATTTGAGATTGTAATGCTGTAAATATTGTTGAACAATGAATTATAAATGACAATACACCAATAACTATACAAACTATCAGATCATTCTTCAGTCTCGCTTTTACAGTATTCCGTAATTTTTTTGGAAGTGGATCAACTAATTCAGAATCTGTTATTTGTTCTCCAACTTTTATTTTTACATCCTTTTTTCTACCTGTTGTTTTTATTTTAGTATCTTTGTTGATAGTTGCGGTGGTAGTAGTAACAATTGTAGCTGGTGTTGAGTCTTGTCTTGATGTATTTTCAATAACTTTGGCTCCTATTTCCTCGAGGTACATTTCTGGTGGCCATACATTTGTCTTAACAATGTCCCATATCACACTGGGATCTGACGATGATCGGCTCAAGTGATAAGATATGGCAACTAAGAGGCCAGCAAAAATAGAAAATAGTATATGCTGGGATGATTTTGGCTCTGTCAATGCACCGTAAGCAAATCCATACAAAATAGCTACTGTTACTACACTGCGACCAAGGCTGTAGATTGACGAGACAAGAGATGTAGTAGCGGTACCGCCAAACAGGTGTATATCTAAGTGCTCACAGACGTACATAAGAAATGTATTTATTTGCGGAAAAAGACCAAGGGAAAAAATTAACGGGAATACTAGTAAAAATATAAGTAAAATATTTTTAACTTGATTAATTGTATCGTAATCAGTTACACGTAAACCATAGACTTGAAATTCGGAATTTTTAAAATTATGCAGTGATTCATTGAGAATAAGAACTATACTTGAAACAATAATATAGTAAACGGATCGTGAAAATACGATTATACGATTAAATCCGTGTGTTGGTGAGGCTGCATCTGGTTGAACAGATTTTAATAATGAATACTGGCATCCAGCGGTCACAAAACAAAAAATAAAAGCAAATATATCACGGTAAAATCCTTTTTGCAGTAACTGTAATCCAAGACCAGCAACAGTAACTGCAAGAATAGTTGATATTGTTGTCTCTAAAATTGTCAAATTACGATCGAGCAAAGCCAGCAGCGATAACCTGTCAAATCTTACTTTAATATGAGGAAATTTACCAATTTTCCATTTATAATAATGTCTCGTAGGCTTTGATTTTGAATCATTTGGATCCATACCATCACAAAATCTATTCCAGGATGAACTATTATGAATATCAGACTCTTGATGATTCGGTAATGGCAGTACTACCACTTGATTTTGATTTTCTGGTTGTTGTGCATTAACATTTATATTTTCAAATAGATGATGTATACGACAATTTCTTGATGCACGTATTTGACAGTAAAAGTCATGATCAAATAACACAGTTGGTTGATCGAATACATTTGAATTACCACCGGTATTTGTTGATAAAATATTTGCTGGTAACGAATTTTGTGTTTTTGTTTGATTATTGGCAGGGCTTGATAACACTGGTGGAGAATCAATAATTAATGTTAATCCAGCAGAATTCATTGACAAACTACTGTAACTATTACTTAATGAATCAGTAAGACAATTACCATCAATAGGAATATTATGACTGCGTTGCTGCTGTTGTTGCTGAGCTTGCTGTTGATGGTACTGTTGTTGCTGCTGTTGCTGTTGCTGCTGCTGCTGCTGCTGCTGCTGCTGCTGCTGTTGTTGATGTAACAAAGAATTTATAAATTTATCATTGATACCACCAGGTGGTACCGGTGCTGTTGTTGCAGACGTCGGATCTTTTTCATCAAATTTATACGCAAACCAACGGCCATTATCGTCATGAAAATAATGAATGGCACCTTCACTGGTATCATTATGATTTGTTGCAATGTGATAATCTCCATTAGATATCAAACCTTCAAGTGCTGTAAAAACACCTACATTATCTTCATGTCTTGGTCTCCGATATACTCGTTGACGTTTCAGTCTTCTAGTTCTGTTTCTCCTTGATATATTAGGTACAGGAATTTCAATCCGTACAGCAGATGGGGCATTATCGGGACCATTAGACCCACTAACTTGAGAATCAGATTTAAGCAGAGATGCCAGCAGTGGAGGAGCAGGAGTCGAAAGTAAAGTACTTAATTCGTTGTTTGAACTACTGGCTTGCTCAAATTGACTCATATCTTTTGCCTGTTTTCTATCACGATCGCGACGTGACTCAATAGTCCGTCTTGGTTTGTTCGTCGAAGTTTCCAATGCTGAACATATATTTATTGAATTATTTATTAAATTTTCTGGGCATACTTTCGGACGGTTTTGCTTAGGAATAGCGCCTTGATGACGTTTACTGTCTATCGTACTTGGTGCAGGTAATAGAGTTTTCCTTACTTCGTTGTCAATACTCAATGTTGTTGTACTCGAGGACCCAGAGTCTGGTTCTTTTGAGTGAAAATCTAAAAAATAAATTAAATATACATTATTATTTATAATCGAAAAAATAATCACTACAATTATTTATTAAATCTAATATTCTATTTTTGTTGCGAATAATTTTAAAATCGAGCTATAGAGTTTCCTAGACTCTAATTTAGGAGAATAATATCCTACTGTCTTTGCACCAGAGAGTACCAGGCGTTGACTAAGTAACTTACAATCAGTACTAGCTGTTTGAAGACTCTCCGAAGTGTCCGTATCGTCAGAACGAGTGAATGTCCAATAAACTGGCAGCATGAATCGAGAGAATTATAGGTTTTACTCGATAAAACCAAATAAATTTCCGGAGTCACGGGAGGACAGTCAGTAACGCGATGATTATTGAAAATTATTGTCAATTTATCATAAGCAGTTTTGACTACTGACTAATTATAAATATGCACTAATAAATTACTTACTTTTATTAGCCCAAGACTCAGCAGTACATTCATGATTCTCAAAGAGCCAATCAAGCCCAACAACACTGCCTGAATTAACAAGATCATCAACCCTATTAACGTTATCCTCCTGTGATTCTTTTCGTCTATCACCATCTGACAATTCATGACTACTCCGACTACCATTGCTGAATCTCCGACTGAACGATGACTGTCCTTTATCTAAAAGAGCTTCACGGGAATTAGCTGAATCATTGTCTATCACTACTTCTCCATTAAATCTATAAAAACAATTCAATTTTATAATTTTATTTTAATTATTTTAAGAAATATTAGCACTAGATTATACAGACCTAGAAAATCTATCTTCAAAACCACCGGCACTTAAACTTCGGTCACGATTTGGACAGGTACTACTATCACCTATTGTTTTTCTCGTAAGTAAGGGACTGTAAGAGTCTCTAAGACTAAATCCACCGGCACTTTCATTAGCAAATTGTTCGTCACTTTGTTCGGCAATCGGATGAACTATTTCAGAACCGTAACTTAAGTATGGTAATAGTTGAAGTTGATTTCTTTTTAAAGTATTTTGTGGTAATATCTAAAAGTTTTATAAATAATAATTAAAATTTCTCTTCAAGTTCTCGTTCATACTTAAAATATTTCAATAACTTAATCTTGGGAATTTGGACTTTGGGAATCAGCGAAACGTTGCAATTTTTATAATTTAAATTTCTCCATTTATTGTCCAAATTCCTAAGATTAAATTATTTAAATATTAAAATTTTTATTAATCAAATTTTGAAAAAAATTAATATGCACTGTACCTTTTTAGTATTAATTGTTTCTAAGCTCTGAGGATGAAGGGGTAAATTATTGTCGTCTGACGCATCTACATTTTTAATAGTAGCACCAATTGTTTCTAAACTCTGAGGATGTACTTGTTGTTGATGAAGTTTTTTAGCAATCACCTAATTATAAATTAGTATTAATATTTAATAAGTTAACAAATAAATAAATAAAATTTTACCTCCAATGACTGCGGATGTGAAGGCATTTTTATTTTATCCAAATCTTTTTTCTTAGAAATAGTTTCTAAACTTTGAGGATGATCCGTCGTGAGATGAGTTTCCATGGGTATTGAATTAGATGTAAGACGACGAACACTCTGATTAGACTTCCAATAAGGATAATCTTCACCATGTTGTTCCAATTCCAAAGAGCTTGTTTGCTTAATTCGACTTTCAGAGCCAGTTTTACCAAGTGTTCCTTGATTTGTATGCCGACTTTGAGAATCTTCGGATGCATGTCTGCACAATTTACGAGAACTCGGACGATCTTTTATTTGTACAACACACGTTTGATGTGTTAGTCGCCAATCTAAAATTATAAAATCGATAATTTAAACATAATCAACCTTTTTATAATATTTCTTACAACAATTAATTGATTTATCACGATAAAGACTATTTATATTAAATAAATAAATACAATAACATTATCTCACGACCTTGCTTCAATAACGTTTTATCTACATCGATAATTTATAAAAATTCAATAAATAAATTATAGACGTGTTTATAACAAAGCATAAATAGTCAAGCATATCGTGACCTAATTGAATCAATTGACTTAATTTGTCAGTTGATGATAAAAAAAATAAATTAATACCATCAATTTTAGCTCTCAGTCGGGGTTCACGGTCTTGTGTAGAAACTAATTCAGCATCTTGCACATTTATACAAGTAACAGTAGGTTTACTTAATTGCTGTGCTTCTTCAGAGCTCTCTGAACTATTTTTTCGATGAATTTCAACTTTTAAATCTATCGTAGAATTTGGTTTGTCACGATTATATTCAGAAGTAATACTATCAGCGTCAGCACTAGGTGCATTTTGTTCGATGTATGAATTTCTCGATGAACATTCTACGGGAGGTGTATCAGTTTTCCCTTGATTAACAATAAAAAAAAAAAAAAATCCATAAATAATTTTACATTATTAACAACCATCAACAATAATGTTTCTTGGTAAATGTTTACAAATACAACATAAATAAAAAATCAATAAACTATAATTACCATTTAATATTTGTAATTCAATGCCAAGATCAGCTTGATCTAAACACCGATCAATGCATTTACTACGAGCAGCACGTTGTTTTTCGCTCTCGGATTTTTTCAAACTCACACATGGTCCTGGTTCTTCTAGACGTTTCCCTGTGTCGTATACACAATGAAGTGCATGATTCACACATTTTATTGTTCCAAATAGCATCAAGATAGATGCGCAGTATGCCAACCAAACGTGAAACGTGGGAGGTAAAAACTATAATAAAAAAAAAAAATAAAAACAAAAAATAATGACACAATTATTGACATTCTAGAAATAAATAAACAATATAATATAACTTAATTTAATTCTACATAGACAATATAATTGAGCATCAATGATTATTTAACAACTGACAGTAAATAATTATAATAAGTCAACAATAATAAATAAATAAATAAATAAACATAACTCACAAGATAAATAGTAAAAGGGAAACATAGTAAGAAGAGCCATACGTAAAGATGAAATGTATTGGAAAAAACATCTAGATGTGGATCGTAAAACCAGCCTCCTGTCAAGCTCGCCCAGACACCTTGTCTCAATATTTCTAGCGATTGCGAACCCATGCCAGTGACCGTAGTACTTTTTCACCATCTTCCCATTACTTTACTCTCTTTTAGCTTCAGTTTTTCTTTTTTACTTTGATTTTTTTTCTTGTCGTTAACTGAACGTGTCGTAACACGTTTGTCGTTAAAGATTAATTTTATTTTTCCTTTAATCCTTATTATTTATTTTCACTTATCTTTTATACTATTTATTATTGTTATTATTGTTGTTATTGGTATTATTATAATTATAATAATAATAATTATTAAAATATTCACACACTTAGATAGATACACGTTGAATGACTACTTGCGAAGTGTATTATTCGGTGAGATGATAAGCAGACAGTGATGATCAGTGAGGTTGTGCATCTTTTTATCTCTGACTGATAATCAATGGATCTCTTGCGCACACACGATATGTATTTTATCACCTATGAGCCATATGAACATATCCAAATCCATCTCTCAGATGTTCACAGCCATAGAATATAGATATATATAATAACTGACATTTCATTGGTGGTGATTGTAATTGTATGGTATATATAACTATATATGTATGACTAGTTGATCTAAATGATGATGCAAAACTGTGCTGAGCGAAACTTTAAAAGACAATAAACTTGACTTGACGTTTAGTAGGTCTTGTCGTGAGGAGGCTCTTGAACTAAATTCCCTTTCGTACTTCTCCAATCGTAAATTTTCTATTTTATTTAAAACTATGTTTTCATTGGTTAATTACTCATCATGATTTTTTATGATTATTGAATTTTTATTTACATCCTTTTTGTATACGTGAAACTTACCGAAAACTTATTTATCCGAAAAGACAAAAACTGAGTCGCCATCTACAAAAAAAATTTTTTTTTCTATTTGAAAAGACAAATCTCCGATTGGACATTTATGTAAAAAGTGTATTGACTTTTTGCAGAAGTATATTTGCAAGAAAATCATCTCACCGAAAAGACATGATACACATCGTCATCAATAGAAAATTATTAAATTCTCTTCATTATAATCCAAAAAGTAAATACACTCCGAAAAATATTTAAAACAGTAGATAATATAGAAACTTTTCTTTGTTGCACAGTAAAATAATCAGTAGGTACTGAAGAAATCATTGTTTGACATTTATTAAGGTATTATTTCCATGAAAAATATTCTATCTTTTTTTTTACTCACTCATTTGACATTTTTGTAATGGCTCTCCTAGATCGCGCTATTATTTAAAGGTATTTTGTGTTGTGACACATAATTGTTATTTAGTTGATAAAATTAAAAATAAAGAATGGCATTTCGACATACATGGAGATTGTTATCGAAAAATATTATTCCAGCTATGGTAAAATATTAATTTACTTATTTATTCATTATTATACTTTATTTTTTAAAATTAATGTATGTATTTAAAGTCCGTAGGAATAGTGTTCGCACGTTCTGACGAAAAAAAAGATACAGAAGATGAAAAGATAGTCAAAGTTCAAATGCCTAATTTTGATAAATTAAATTATGATTTTATGATTAAACAATCGGCTGTTGAAGTTGTAAATAGTGCTTCCCAAGCTCTAACAATAGCTTACACCGCTATTGAAAGCACAAGCCGGGAATACAGGTTAGTTTATGGTATACTAAACATAACAGGCTCCAAATTATATTTTAGAGTTTTAAATAATTAAAATTAAAAAAAATACTCCACTCTAATTAATAATAAAATTTATGTCATAAATTAAACATTGAAAAATGTAAAAAAAATTAAATGATGACTATATTATTTTTTTTTTTTTTTATAGATTATTATTATCAAAATTAATGAGTCTTATAGAAGAAACTCTAATTTATGAAGTATCTGATGAACATGAGGACTTGATAATTGCTGTTAGATCAGATGTTAATAACAAGAAAAAAATTTTAAACGTAAAAAATTAAGTTTTTTCTTTTCTTTCAGTTTTAATTTAATTATTATTGACATTTAATATTGAACAATTTTGTAGGATTTATTAATATACATGGATTATGTACAAAGAATGGTTGAAGCAGCATCAGTAGTGAGTAATTCAGCAGGAATGGAAAACTTAGCGATGACTCTGTGTGAAAGAATGGATGATGCTCTTAAACACAAAGACCGAGAAATTCACGATAACAACCTCTTAGAGAAACAGTATAATAATTTACAAGAAAAATGTGTTACCGAAAGGCAAGACAACAATTTATAAATAAGCGTTCATCTATGAAAATGAAGTTAACCGACATTGCAAAATTTTTTATTGAAAAAATTTCAATTAAACAACTAAAAAAAAAATTGTCACATTTAAAAAACTTGAAAAACTATAAGTGCAATTTTTTAGAAATATTTTTTTAGTTGTAATTTAATTAATAAAAAAAATCAAAAATTTTTACACGTCTGCTAACTTCAGTGTCATGTTCATCTTATCTTATTTTTATATATTTATAAAAATTTTAATCACTTAGCAGCTGAAATTGGTGAATATTTTCTTTTTTTGACAAAACAAACTGCCGAATCAATGTACCAACACATTTAGACTAGACGATACTTTATATTGTTCAATGAGGAATCACCAAAAGTATGATTTATTATTAACGGCGACAGTAAAATGAAGGATAAAAAGTCAATTTATTCGCTATTGGAAGAACATCGTTTTTTTGTTGACAAAGCATCTTCACTATGCCAATCGCCTATATGAATTGACACAATATGACGACGTGGTACCATAACTAAACCAAGAGCTCGTGGTTCTGTGTGCTCTTCCGACAAGAATTCTTCACAACAACCAAGAATTATATTAGCATCTCTGTCAGTACATAAAAAAGCTCCAGTTAATACACGACCATCTGTTATTTTCACTCGTAAATATCGATTTAGCCATGACCTCAATTTTTGTTTAGCACCAGGTTCCTCATTAGGTGATGTCTGTAACGTTGTAAATATTTTAAATAAATTTACAAATTTTTATTGTTAAACATTAGCATTTATAAAATTAAAAAAATAACCTCTCCATTTCCTTGAACTGATTTATTCTCCATTTCTGATGAATTATTCGTTGAATCCTTCATCTTAGACATTAATTATATTATAATTGAATCTATGTTTGTTTATTATTAATAAAAATGTAATATATATTTTATAGTAAATTAATCAACATATCATTTTTAATAGATTTATAATTTTTTCAATAATAAAGATGTTTAGGTTAGAGTTATTGTTTTGAAAGCGTGGCTAAAAGTTTTTTTAAATTATTGATGTTAATTTTATTTCAAAATTGCAATTATGTATTTGTTGTTCACTTTAATGTCACACTATCACTAGTTAATAATATAAATGTCAAAAAAAGTTTAAATATATACCTATATATTATATTTATATAGCCTGTTTCCCAAAAAAGTGCTGCTATCTAATGCTGACATTTAGAATCATCACTTGATTAGTCAGACGCCTCATTCGTACATAAGTATAATATCTTAAATAAAAACTACGCAAATAAATATTAAAAATTTCAACTAAGGAAAATTTAAAGGAATAATGTAAATATTATTTATAATATTCAAGAATAAAAATATTAAAAATGAATCAAATTTAAAATATATAATAATTGATTAACTCCAAATGTGAAAGTCATTGTTTCTAAGCTCAGAAGGATTTGATTGTGCTGCTGTCAATTGATCAGATATTTATATACTTATTGTCAAAATAATAATTTACTACTCATCTCTGTAATAGCCGAAAATTCAATTAAAAAATAAACAAAATGCATGACGCATACGAAGCAAGTCCTATTTTAAAATTAACTGTTCAAATTGAATCTATGGCAGCTTATGGTAAAGTATTTTTATTATTTTTTTGTAACTAAAAAAAAAAATTAGAATAATTTATTTTATTAACAATGTTTATTGCATTATTGTTGCAGATGATAATTTATTAATTGGAACACGTGAAGGTCATTTATTAATATACAATGTACCTATGAAATCAAATGAATATGGAAAACTGGAATTGTTAAGATATAGCAAAAATTTTAGTAAAAAAAGAATTGTTCAAGTTGATGTTGTACCAGAGTATAGTTTGTTAATTCTCTTGACAGGTATTTTTATTGCCACTTATTTAATTTTAATAATTAATTATCTGTAATTTAAAATTATTTTATGACATTAAAGTTAGCTGTCACTTTACAATTTTTTAATTTTATTTAACAAACAAATTTTGTCCAAAAAATTATTTTTAAAAAATTGCATTTTTAATTTTTTTTAAATTTCTACATTTCAATTTTTTTTCTTATTTTTTTTTTTTTGCCATAATTTATTTGTTAAAAATATTCTTAAAATTATCAAAAATCTGCTAAATTAATTTTAATAATTTCTACATGTCAATTTTTTTTTCTAATTTCTTTTTGCCATAATTTTATTTGTTATAAAATTCTGAAAATTATTAATCATATGCTCAATTAATTTTCATAATTATTTTCCTTAGATGACATTATTTGTGTTCATGATTTAAATTCTGTAAATATTCAACAAATAAATCAATTATCTAAGACTAAGGGAGCAACACTATTTGCTTTGGATGTTCAACGCGCTGGGAGCTTGACTGGTGTTAGATTATGTGTAGCTGTGAAGAGAAAACTTCAATTATATTACTGGAAAGCGAACAATAATCAGTTTGAAGATTTAGGCGATGAACCACGCAATGAAATATCATTGTCAGATGTACCACGAGAATTAGCATGGTGTGGTGAGACACTGATAGTGGGTTTTCATGGTTTGTCTTACACATTAATAAATCTTGACGGTAAAACCAAAGAATTATTTCCAACTGGTAAACCACCAAAGCCAAGTATTACTAAATTATCAAACAGTTCATTTGCTTTGGGCAAAGATTCACAGTCTATTATAATGAATACCACTGGTGACTTGATACAGCATAATCCAGTCAAGTGGACTGACTCACCAACCGCTACAGTATGGGATGATCCTTATTTGCTAGGAATTGTGCATGATACTCTTGAAGTTTATACTCTTGAAGGCTCATTACATATTCAGACTTTGGCGGATTTTAATAAAGCGCGACTTTTGTGTAGATGTAAGCAAGGAAGAGTTTACATAGCTTCAATTAGTCAGGTTTGGTGTGTCAGTTCGGTTGATGTTGAACTACAAATACGAAAATTACTCGAACAAAATCAATTTCAATTAGCTTTAAAACTTACAGTGAGTATTTATTTTATAAATTTTAATAATACGCTTTTAAAATGGTTGTGATAATGATAATAAAATTTATCTTTTAAAGAGTTTATCAGACACCACAGAGGAGGAAAAGGCTAAGCGAACGTATAAAATTCAAACGCTATATGCTCATCATTTATTTTGTAACAAAAAGTTTCAAGAAGCAATGAAACAATTTCAAGAATTAGGAACAGATCCGTATGAAGTTATAAGACTATTTCCGCATTTAGTATCACAGTCTAGTAACACGAATGATGTTAATGAACCAGTTGCTGGTTTACCAAAGCTACAAGATAGGGATTTAGAAAATGGACTATTGGCATTGATTGGTTTCTTGACTGAAGTGCGACATAATTTAATGGGTAGCACTGACTCAAAGGACAAAGATAATAAAACTGAAAAAAATAAGGATAAAGATAAAAAAGCTATGACAGCTGTTGCAACGGAACAATTATTAAAAATAATAGATACAACATTATTAAAATGTTACTTACAAGTAATTAATATATTTTTAATTTATTTATAAAGTTAAAATTTTTGTTTGTCAATGCTTCTTCAATTATTAAGTTTACAGACGAACGATGCATTTGTTGCTCCATTACTGCGTCTCAATCATTGTCATCTGGCTGAAGCTGAAAAAACTCTTCTGATGCATCAAAAGTATCCGGAATTAATTATTTTATACCAAACAAAAGGACAACATAAAAAAGCTCTTGAGTTATTGGAAAAACAATCTAAACAAAATGATTCAAGCTTGCGTGGAACTGAAAGAACTATTCAGTATTTACAGCATTTGGGGAAAGATCATATGGATTTAATTTTGAAATTTTCCGGATGGGTTTTAGAACAGGATCCGGAACAAGGTTTACGTATATTCATGGAAGATATTCAGGTAAAAATATAACTATCATTTCGCGTGCCAAATGCCAAAAAGGCGTATTACAGCAGTTAGATAGGGTTCCATGCCAAAAGGGCGTATAAAAAAACTTTTTTTTTGTCATTCTTTTTAGAATCGCTCGAAATGTAAAGATCTGCAGAAAAAAAATTTTGACGTACTAACCCCAAAAGGGTGTATTTTAAGATATACGCCATTTTGGTTTTAGAAAATTATCGATCTAAAGCCAAAAGGGCGTATAAAAAAAATCAAGATTTTTCATAATTTCGAACAACAGTCTTCAAAATTGTCCGGAGAAAGTTTGTGTAAAAAAATATTTAAAAAAAGTCAGCATTTTCGATGGTAGTAAATTTAAATTTCCATCATTTTGGACAGTCCAATGATTAAAAAAGCATATGAATTGAAAGTTTTTTCGCGTACTAAAATTTTCATATTTTTTATAAATTTCTTTCTTTTTCGTTGCGTTAAATTGTAGTTAAAATCCATAATATGTATATATAGAATAAAAAAAACACCTTAATATAAGTAAAAAATTATTAACTAATCGTTAAAAAATTTTTTGAGCTGAGTATAGCTGAATATAGAACTGATAAAAACTCTATTTTCAAAAAACGGGGTAAAACCCATATAATCCCAATTTAAAAAAATTTTTAATTTTCTTAATGATAAGTTAAAAATTATACGCCCTTTTGGCATTTGGCACGCGATTTAATATTAGTGTTCTTTATTATTTATTTTAATAATCAATGTGCTTTTTATTTAGGAAGTGGAACAACTTCCGAGACCAAAAGTTTTAGATTATCTGCTTCGCTGTCACAAAGATTTAGTAATAACTTATTTAGAATACGTGGTGCGTGTCTGGGAGGATGAGAATCCTCTTTTTCATAATGTTCTTGTCCATCAGTACAAAGAAAAATGCTTAGCGTCAATGAGCTTAGCAGCAACACCAGCTGAAAAACAGAGTGGTGAACATGTTCGACAAAAACTACAACAATTTTTAGAAAAATCAACACAATATACTGCTGAAACAGTATTGATTCAATTTCCATCAGACTGTTTGTACGAAGAACGAGCTATTATACTCGGTAGGCTAGGTCGTCATCATCAGGCAATATCTATCTATGTAAATTTACTCAACGATGTGCCAAGGGCGATTCAATATTGTAAAAATGTTTATGCTAGATACGAGAGTAAGTACAAGACAATTTATACCTTATTATCAGTAACAGTTTTAAAAACACCTACGATATTTAATCATAATATAAAATGTTTATTTCGAAGGTCAAAAAAATATTGAAGGCGGTAAGTGTCAAGACGGAGCTGATGAAGTTTATGTGACACTTATTCAACAACTTCTTAAACCTGAACCATTTTTTGTATCTGGTATGTACATTTATTAATTCGCTCTGTTATTAATATTATTCGAAGAGTCATTGTAGTTTGAATTATTGGATTGAAGGTTCATCAGAGATACAAAAGACAGCTCAGCCAGATTTAGAAACTGCGTTAGAATTATTAGAACAGTATGCCTCGAAGATAACTCCAATTAATGCTCTCCAAGTGTTACCTGATAACGTTCCAATTGGGCGGATAAGACATTTTTTAGAGGCCAGTTTACACAATCAACTGAGTGAAAGAAGAAAAACTCAAGTATTGAAAGGATTATTACAAGCTGAACATCTTCAGGTACAAGAACAAAGGATGCATTATGAATCTAAAAGTGTACTCATGACTGAATTTAATATATGTCCTGTATGTAAAAAAAGATTCGGCAATCAAAGGTAAATACTATAGTTATTAATAATTACAATCAATCAATGAATAATCATTACAAATAATAATTGTTTATTTACAGTGCATTTGCAAGATATCCAAATGGAGAAATTGTTCATTACTCATGTCAAGAACGTAAAACATAAAATATTAAATATTTATAATTTTCACTATGTAAAATATATTAAATAATTGTATATGATTTAATTAACTAAGAAAATTTTTATGCAGCTGCAAAAATAAATATAATTTAAAAAAAAATTTATAAAATTTAATTAAGGTCATGATTTTTTATATCTTGCAGGTTTATTTCCAGAACTTATTAAAATCTAAAATTTCTAACTTATTAACATGAAAAAAAACACACTATTCATGTAATTATCAAGAATTAATTAATTGACTAATGTAACTTGTAAATTTACAATTATTTACAAACATAATTTTATTTAGTAATAGTGAAAAGAATATTTAAATTTACGTACAAATATGAAACTGTCCAATAAAAAGCCCGGGTAATAAACTGGTGAAGGATGGGGCGTGCCCGGCTCAAAACCGTATAGATGATGTCATGTTTAAGCTTGTATTCTTACGCCGATGCTATGTTACATACACTGTGTGTACATATACGAAAATTTACAGGAACGAATTAATTAAACATTGTACCCGACACTATTCTCTCTCTTCAATTACAAGTATTAATTATGGATAATCAATAATTAATTTTTTGTTCTTATAATTATAAATAATTATACACAGTAATAATTTATTTATCGCTCTCTAATTTTTATAACAAAAATATAAAATTTTATTTTATTTTCTTGTCAGGTAAAATTTTCCGTACGGATTAATTTAGTCGCATATTATAAAGAGATTTAGATAATTCATGAGGTAAGTTTATTTCATAAAGCTTAAGTAATAAATACTTAGATTATAATTTCAATTCCACAGGGAACTATTTCTTGAATGCGCATTCGGGTAGCGTAATACTACAGTAAGTTGCGCGCCGGTTCAGTTGAGTGCGAGAGTGCCAGAGGTTGTACGGAAAAGCCGAACAGTAGAGAGTGTGTGTTTTATTATTATATATATCTTACGTTGGGTTTTTATCGTGGTTTATTGACGTGCATGTTTTATGTGCAAGTGAAGGTGATAATTGGATTTTCGGTGTATTAATTTAACCCGGTAAGTTTAAACATTTAAGTTAAAAATAATAAATAATCATCAGATATAAAATTTATAGTTGAGCTGACGGAAGGGTAGGAAGCGCCGAAGCAATTTCCATGTAAAAATGGCGTTGTCTCGTCTACTCGATATTATTTTAATACTTTATTTTTTTTAATTACTCACCGCTATTTTATTTTAAAAATACTTTAATTTAATTTACACTAATTATTTTTTATTATAACAAAGGTTTATTTTTTTTTAGAATCACTATTATTGAAGATGAAAAATGTCCGTTTGGTTTATGGAGATAAATATATTGATAGTAAAGATTTATACAGATATTTTTATGATATTGTTCATCTTACTATCAAGGCCGAGAGAACATGAGATTTAATAGCATCAATAGACCTGTTCTCTCAGTATTAATTCATTAATAAGATTTGTTTTAACATAACATTTTAATTGAGTAATTGTCAAGACAACCTGTCTGTCCACCGGTGACCTAATTCATCAGTTTTTGAATAGTTCTATTACTATTAAATTATTTTTATAAGCTTTTATGATATAATTTTAATTAATAACTTCGAGATAAACTAAATTTTAATTTAATTAGTGATATTTATAAAAATTTAACTTGTTTTGATTTTAAATACACTGAAATTAGCAGACGTCTAAAAATTTTTAATTTTTTTTATTAATTAAATTACAACTAAAAAGATATTTCTAAAAAATTGCACTTATAGTTTTTCAAGTTTTTAACATGTGACAATTTTTTTTTTAATTGTTTAATTGAAATTTTTTAAATAAAAAATTTCTAAACAATTTGAAATGTCGGCTAACTTTATTTTCATTGATTTAATTGTAAATAAAGCACTAATGATCATGAAAAAATACATAGAATTAAATAGTATGTCATGACAAACTTAGATTGAACTTGATATTTAAAACAAATTTATCTCGCAATAGCATAATTGGCGTCAGGTTATTATTATAGATGATATAATAATAACTAGCTTACTAATACCAATACTTAGATCCTATAATAGATATTATTCACGATTAAAATATTTACATTAGTTGTGTTTAATTGATTATTTTTTTATGGGTATTCTCATAATTTTCCTGAGTATTATACAAATATTTGTTTAATTAAATTAAACTTTTTATTTACCGATATTTATTTTTTTTTTCTACGACGCATTAAACTAATTTCCGATAAATTTATTTTTCTAGATTATTGGTGACTAAAATATTTAAATATACCCAAGGGAATATACCGACAAATTGTTTACTATTACGAAACATTTTATGTATACGTGTATACGTGTCACCGTGGATGTTCCACGTTCGGAATTAATGAATAATTAATTAAATGGTCAGATGAACAAGTCATCGACTTTTTTTACATTTTGTTTTGTAAGTGATATTCTAATTGAATCGAATTTTTATTCCGTTTCGATATATCATCTGTCAGGATCGTAAACATGAGTTATTTTATTTTTGCAATTATTTTTTTTTTTAAAACCAGTTATTTTAAACCTTGAAACAATGGAGTACTATTTCATTACAATACTCGTTTGAAATTTAATATTTTAAGAAAACTGTATATTGTTATTCAAGATAATAATTATCTTATAAAATACATTTTAATTACATGTATTATTTTAAATTATCACATAATTATACGATGTTGAGAAATAATCATCAAATGTTATCTTGTATGGACTAAAGAAAAGTATTTTAAATATAATATAAATTATCGAAAAAATTTCAGTGAGCGATTGGATAAAATTACTGCTTTGGTAAAGCATTCCATTGTATTTTAATGTATTCCAAAATGAAAAAGTTTACGAAAGAGCGTATAAAAATAAGTAAAGAAGAAAAAGTTTATTTTATATTTAGAACTTTAGGGTTTTCGGCATCTGTTTATTATACTTTGTAAACATAATATCTTTCGCGCCTTTTTACATAATTATATTATTACTTATAACAATAACAATATTTATTATAACAAGTATATATGACATTAAAGTTAGCAGAGACTAGAGAATTTTTTAATTTTTTGTAACAAACAAATTTGTTCAAAAAAATTACTTTTAAAAAATTGCATTTTTTATTTTTTTTTAAATTTCTACGTGTCAATTTTTTTTTCTAATTTTTTTGCCGTAATTTATTTAAAAAAAATATTCTAAAAATTATTAAATATCTGCTAAATTTATTTTCATCAAGTATATTCATTAAAAAATTTATCGTTTAAATACAAATAGTAGAACGTTTCACAAACCACACCTTTTTTATAAATTTATATCAATTCTATATTTTAAAAATTTTCTCCATGCTTTGTATTATAATTCTCCATATTTTTCACGGGTACGTAAACTCGTTCCACTTTTCCTCATCGGCTCTACATGTTATGTTCTTTAACGTTACTTTACTTGTCTGCTATACTAGTGAACGCTAACACGATACAATTATACAAGCTTATTATGTACGGTGTGCTTAGATGACCACGCACCCTTTTTGTTTTCTGCCCTACTTTTTTTTCTTCAATCCCCTTTATTCATTATACGTATTATCTCAGATCCTGTTGATTAATTACGTCAATAGATTAACAATCTTGCTTCCATAGTAATAATATTAGTTAAAAAAAAACAAAAAAAAAAAAAAAAAAAAAAAAAAAAAAAAAAACAAATTAATTCATCGAAAATAACAAAAGATCTAATTATTTATTTTTTTAATTACAGTTGGTTTATTTTTTGTCATCGCTTCCGGAGTAAGAAGGTACTATACATAATTCCACTTCAAGTAAATGACGAAACGGACGAAACAGACCAGATCAGTCGACCGTAAATTAACGTAAATGCGGACGTGACGTAGTCCCGTGTTGGGTTAGAATCACCACATTATAGTTAATCTTCCGTTGGTACTTATTCTTTGTATTGTTTTCATTATCATTAATATATTCATTTTTTTGCTTCAGAACAATATAACAACTGTCTGGTAGCGAGTGACTCTTTAGATCATAGAAGCCATTGAAAGTCTCCAGAATTTTTTATTTTACACGTAGCTTCTTCACTTTGATCAAAGTTATCTTCAATAAAATATGTACAATAACCAATAAGTACAATGAAAATTTATAATCGAGGGCGTCGACAGAGTAGAGCCAAGAAGGTCAACCTGAATACTTGAGATTGACCCTTAGTCGTTTATTCGTGACTCTCTTGCCTATTCATCATCATCATTATCATCGTCATCATTACATTAATTTTATAAATTCTTCTCTTTTTGTCTCGTACTTGCTTTTAATCTTGGATACTGCATCTTTTATTTACATCAGAGAAAGTATTACCGGTCAATGACCCTGAAGACGGGTTATTTTATATATTTGTTTAAGTTACTACTGTCTTCTTTTCATTACCTTACTTGACTATTGAGATTTGGTATTGAGTTGAGCAAAACCAGTCGTGGTTGGCGTTTTAGTCTATCGCATGTATTACTTATGCTGTATCTTGAGTTCTATTGGGACTAAAATACGTGGTACAGGTGTACGTATGTATGAATGATGTGACAAAAAAAATCTACTTGTTAGTATTAGCTAAGTGGTGATATGTAGAATATAGTATTGGTGGTATTAGTATACATACAGTCAAACACATAAGTACCCGGCGCCGCGTCGACTGCATCAAAAAATCAATAGTCATACTTTTGTGTGTGTATGTGTGTGTGTGTCTCGTCTCACCTTGGTACCTTAGGGGAAGATAGAGAGTGAAAAGAAGTAAGAATGTATGAGAACAAGTGGTTTTTTGCTTCGTTATTTTTCTTTTGATTCGGTAAAAAAAAATTTCATTGATTTACTCTTGTCTCTAGTCGCGAGAAGCTAGTCAATTTTAATTATTTTTGTATATATAACAAAAAAGTATTCTAGATTAAAACAGCTCATTGATTTGCTGCCTAATTTATTTTTAATTGAAACATTTGAAATTTTAATATCAAAATATTGCAAATGAAGATAGTAATTTTTAAAATAATATAAACTATCAAAAATTATTTATTTTTTGATAATTAATGATAAGTAGTGATAAAAAGTAATTATTTACACAGCTTAGATTGATAAATTCAATTAATCTCATTTATTTAATTACATTTTTTATCTTTTTCATTAAAAATATTTATTGTTCTCTGAAAAATATTTCTTCTACGAAAATATAATTGAGTAATTGAATTATTTTTTATTTTATGACTATAAAACGTTACTTGAGAGTTTCTTACTTTTTTACGAGGTTTCTTTTAAAGCTGTTTTTCTTAAAAAGACCATTGTTTTAACTGTAACCGTTATCTCTATTTTAATTTTATTTATTATATTTTTAATGTAAATTCTAAACGACAATTTCTTGATAACTATTTTTCTTTAAAAAAAATTGATTTATTCTCATTTATATTACTCATACCGATTTTACTAAAAATGACAAAATAATTTTAAAAAGGTACATTTTATTTATCAAATAATAATCTTGATTAATTGAATGCGAAGTAAAGTGTCGGATTTAATAAATTAAATAAAAAAATAAGGTAAAGTTTCGTATTAAGCTAGCATGATATCGGAATGACGTAACGGTAATATACGAGATAGAAAGTGAAGTAATAGACCGATAGATATATATAAAAGTACAATTTGTCGGAAAGAAAACTAGACAGTCAGTAAACTTAACCTTTACTTCGTCGATTACGGTCTAGTGTCATTCACATCGTGATTCATTCCGTTACGCCCTCCCGGGCGTGTCTTCGCGTTTACCAACTATCATCATCTTGTAACATAATGAGCCGCGGCTAGACTGTACATCGTAATCGAGTACTATGGTCATGAACTGATCTGAGAATTACATCTAGTTGTTTGTGCTCAATATTAAATTCTTGGTCCGTAATACAAAGTTTGCTCCATCAAGTATGACGCCACTTACATAATTGCTTTAAATTCAATTACACTAACAATAATGTAACTGACTGGCTATATTTACCAGAAGGTTGCTTCATTCATTCATCTGAATACACTTGACCCTTTGTCAAATTCCAAATAATTCATTTTTTTTTTCTAATCTCTGTTATTGAGTCAAAGATTTTTTTTTTTCTATAAAACTTATTATAATAAAAAAAAACCTTCTTGCCAGTTAATAATACTAAAGTTAGCCGACGTTTTTAATTTTTTTTTTAAATAATTAAATTAAAACAAAAAAATATTTTCTAAAAATTGCACTTACAATTTTTCAAGTTTTTTAAAAATGAAAATTTTTTTTTATTTTTTTGTAATAATTTTTTCAATAAAAAAAAATTCTAAAAATTTGTAGATGTCGGCTAACTTAATTTTCATTAAAAGATAATACTAATGTTAGTCGACGTTTTAAATTTTTTTTTTTCAATAATTAAATTAGAACAAAAAATATTTTTTAAAAATTGCACTT